TCTGACGGGGTGGGGGATCCCCCAATGAGGGGCGCTGGGGCAGGTCTGACGGGGTGGGGGATCCCCCAATGAGGGGCGCTGGGGCAGGTCTGACAGGGGTGGGGGTCCCCCACTGAGGGGCGCTGGGAGTCTCTCTCTGGGCCCAGGCTACACCCCCTTTCCCCCAGGACTACATTTCCCGGCATGCCGGCGCGGCGGGAGGCGGAGACGCGGCGCGGCGAGGGGGCGCGGCAGGCGAGCCTGGGGCTGGGCTGAGGCAGAGCGGCTCCGGCGCTGGGGGGTGGACGAGGCTCGCTGCGTCCCAGCCGGGCCCGGAGCCCATGGAGCGGGGGAAGATGGCGGAGCTGGAGAGCCTGGAGACGGCGGCGGAGCACGAGCGGATCCTGCGGGAGATCGAGAGCACGGACACGGCCTGCATCGGCCCCACGCTCAGGTACAGCCGCCTCGGGGAACGGTCCCCCGCCACAGCCTGAGCAGGGAACCCCCCAGGCCCCCATCGCTTCCCCCCGAGCAGTGAACTCCCCAGCCCCCATCGCTTCCCCCCGAGCAGTGAACCCCCCAGCCCCCCATCGCTTCCCCCTGAGCAGGGAACCCCCCCAGTCCCCCCGCCACAGTCCTGAGCAGTGAACCCCCAGCCCCCCGTCACTCCCCCCCTGAGCAGGGAACCCCCCATTGCTCCCCCCCTGAGCAGGGAACCCCCCATTGCTCCCCCCTGAGCAGGGAACCCCCCATTGCTCCCCTGTCACTTCCCCCCTCACCCCCAGACTCTAAACAGGGAGTCCTCAGCCCCACTCAATCTAGAGACTTCTGGCTCCCCTAAGTTGGGAACCCCCAGTTCCCTCATCACTTTCCCCGAAGTAGGGAGACCCCCCCCAACTCCTTGTTCAGACACGGAGAGCCCTCTAACCCCACCAAACTGGGTTATCCCTCCAAATTGCCACTCTGTGTCCTTGCTGATAGACCCTCTAAACCCCCAAATTAAACAAAGAAAGACGCTCTTGGTGCTTTGCGAATATACCAGATCCCTAAAAGATGGGGGCTTCCCCATGTCCCCTTAACCAGGTATACACCCTGATACTCCACCTGTTCTGACTGAATGACAGTTCCATGGCATAAGCTGCCAGGCAGACAGTCATTGTCATCCTCCCCTGCCCCAGCTGCTGTCCTGAGCCCAAACAGCTGCTGCCCCCTGAATCTCTGCACTCATTTCTTCCTGCTTTACGAAGGGTCCTTCTCTCTTCTCCAAATGCTGCTTTAAAACCATCTCCTGCCAGGAATTCTCCTACTTTGTTCTCCTCCCTCTCCACACGTTTGATTTTTCGAAACTGTTGTCCTGTGCCTTGTCTCTTTCTGTTTGTGAAGTGCTGTGTACATTTATGGCACTGGGTAAAATGATCGTGGTTAATAACTCAGCAGGAAGGCAAGTGAAGGGATTTGAGGAAGGAGTGTGGGGTAACATAGTTGGAGCAGCTTATGGGAAGACTATTTTTTTTGGAAGCAATGTTTTGAATAGACTTGGAGGGTTGAGGTGGGAGGTGACCAAGGTACAGGCCAGGGTTCTAATTGTTGTGCTGGAGAGGGAAGAATGGATTTTAGACAGGGACGTGAAAAACGGGATCAGCAAGACCTTGAATTTGGGGGATGGTGGAGCAAAAGATTATACTAAGGGTGATAGGGAGGGTTGGGGCTGTAAGGTCCCCTACAATACTAATACTAGTGTATTGCCTGGGACTGGCTTTCTTCAAGCCTTCTGTATTTGGGAACTGGTGCCCCCTTTATAGTGAATTTTGGGCAGAGCATTGATGGTAGGGCGCTATAAGCGTCTAATAATTAGACACCCTCTTGAAAATTAGTTTACTAACCTCCCACTCTGAATCTCTGTTTTATACCTATGAAAAACCTGTCCTTGGTTGTGTGCATTTAAATGTTTTCTGCAGAAGTCACCTCTGGGCTGGAGAGGAGTATGAAATCCTCTTGTTCCGTCCCACACCCTCCCTCTCCATTATACCCAGATACCATCCTCACGTCCTAGTTCTGGCAGGAGCTGAAGCATTTCTCATCAGGCCAGGGGTGAGATGCATCAAGAAGCTGAAGATAAAACGTTGTAATCTGAAACTGTGGCCCGTTCCCCAGGGCCTTGCCTGTAGTTGTTTAGGCTCGTAATTTGGCTTCGCTATGATCTGATTGTTTTCTTCTTATTCTAGGCTTTTTTTTTTTGGTCCTGTCTTGCTTTAAGGGGCTGTCAATGTGAAAGAATGTTCCATATTCTACTGATTATTTTTAAACTCGCACTTCTGGGTCTGATTTCCTCAACCTCTCTAAGGAGTGTTTGTATAGAGTGTTTGTTCTTTGGTAACTGTAGCAAACTGTCACATTAGGTGTGGGGATGCCTGTTTGACAATATGTACATACAGGGAGAATGTGCAGATTTCATTGCAAACCCCAGACTCTGTCTGAATGTTATTTTCCTAAACATTGTTTTAGGGATTTTTATTTTTATCTGTTTCATAAAAAGTGTGACTAATTGCAAAGCCACGGGGTATGGGCACAGTTACCATCCTGATGAAGATATAGGTTAATGCTTCTGTTTGGTTAGTGGCTCCTTTGTTCCCTTATTGAACATCCTCTTTTGGTGGTTCTTGCGGTACTTTTCAACTGGAAAAACTCTTTGCCTACTCTGTGAAGCTGCTGATTTTTTTTCTCTGTCCCAGGGATGTAAATGAAAGAGGTTGCATGGCTGTTAATGCTATCGTTTCTGCTTTTCGTTCACTCTCTGTGGTAGTTTATGAAGTTCTAGAGTCAGTGTTTCATTCTTTTGTTTTTCCTTTGTGATGCAGTTTACGATTTCTCAGCAGTGATTTCTGCTGCATTGTTAATCTGGAAGACATGATATTTGTCCATGTAGTCCAGAAGGAATCACCTGATTTTTATGTGTGGTTTTATAATGTTTAGATAAATAAATTATACCCACTTGGAATCTGTTTCAGCTATCCAGACTGCGTATTATTCACAACCCTGGCCTGCTGGGACCCAGTTTTATATATAAAAGTAAACTACTTTTATTTTTACCCTTCCCCCAAAACAAACAGCTATACAGTCCACTATACCCAGATTCCTCATGTTAAAGGGTAGAAGTGTTGTTTTAAAAATGTTTCCTTTAAAAACCAATTAATTTCCTCATGTTACCAAAAACTGAGATTAAAACTGATATTTCTAAAACTCTCCTTTCACTTTTCACTATTTTTCTTTTTTCAATTTCATTCTCCTTTTGAAATGAAAACAGTATTCAGTTTCACCTTTGTTTGTAGTCAGGTTTTGGTTTTTGTGCACTAACTGTGGAGCTTAGAATTGCAATGGTAAAGGGGGATATTTAAATCCAAACAGAACTGTTATCTTAAAAAAAGGCAAACGTTTATGTTAATATCAGGTTTATGTAAAACCTTCTCATTTTTACAAAACCATAACTTCTGGAGTTAATCTACCTGCCTGGTTCCCTTCAAATGAGCAAATGTCTATACATTTTCTGACTGATAACAATGGTCTTTGAATATGGTCACAGGATCTGTGTCTGCATTTGTGTACTGGCAGGAAACTCTTGTTTTGTGATATTATAAGATTACAATTTGGTCAGCTCTTGACTCATTTTTGAAATCTTCTTTTAAATATTCTCCTCGCAGAAGTAGGGACGTAACTGTAACCTTATAGGGATAGACCATGTGATGTTGTTGAAAGGACATGCTGAAGACTGATCTGGTTTATTAATACAAAAAAAAAAGTCAAAATACTTAAGAGCCATCTATCCAGGTTTTTCATATTGTGGAAAAATTACAGCAATAAGTTTTAAGTCTCCTATTCTTGGCATATTCAGCCGAGATCAAATGAGGTTTCAGACCTCATATGTCTTCAGACTTTTATACAATGGATCTATGTATCTGTCTGAGGGGTGGGGGAGCTCAGGATTCTGCTACCATCAACTGTCTAAACATGGTTGTTACAGGAGTGATTCTAGAATGGCTTTTCTAATTTGAATGGGGAGGGACTTGTTTTTATTTTACTGAGCGGTGTTATTAATGACAAGCATGAACACTCCCAGTTCCAAAGAGCTTTCAGTCTACACTAGACAGACACAGAGTAGACATGCTGTGTGCCAGAGAAGTAGATGTAACTTTTTTTTTTTAAATGACTCACTACTTGTGGGCATCATGGAAGAAGTGAGTCTTCAGGAGACAGGCTAGGCTCCGTTTGAGGAATAGCACAGTTTCATAACATTATGCGTGCACACACACAATCTCTGCCCATGGTATAGGGAAATGGCGCTGGAATCCTGCTAGCAACGTGGGCTTGTGTGTACACAGTTTTTGCCTTGCTTAGCTATGCTAGTTTCTATTTCAACATAGTTAAAAGGGGTAAAATCTCCTAGTGTGGATGCTATTACAATAGTATAAAAGTGCTTCCCTGGAATAAACATCACTGATATAATGCTTCATATCCCTATAATTGTGTCCACACTGGGGTGTTGCACCACTTTAATCAGTTTCTACGTTGATTATATTTGTAATAAAGACTGTATGTAGACCAGCTCCAGTTGTATTTAAATTGTCATTGCTATGGAGTTCTGATTCCTGTGCGGACAGTGTCGTTCATTTAAGTCACGTATTTTCATGGGGGGGGGGGGGCAAGAGGAGTCCTTGTGGCACCTTAGAGACTAACAAATTTATTTGGGCATAAGCTTTCGTGGGCTAGAATCCACTTCATCAGATGCAGAAGTAAAAAATACAGGAGCAGGTATAAATACATGAAAGGATGGGGGTTGCTTTACCAAGCGTTAGGTCAGTCTAATGAGATAAATCAATTAACAGCAGGATACCAAGGGTGAAAAAATAACTTTTGAAGTGGTAAGAGAGTGGCCCATTGCAGACAGTTGACCAGAAGGTGTGAGTAACAGTAGGGAGAAATTAGTATTGGGGAAATTAAGTTTAGGTTTTGTAATGACCCAACCACTCCCAGTCTTTATTCAGGCCTAATCTGATGGTATCTGTTATACCAATAAAATAAAAACCAGTAGGATCTTATTAAGAGGGATACGGCAGAGATGCCACATTTATTGTAAATATAATGATAAAGCAAAAGATAAAAGTAAACAACGTTGTTTGACTACTTATTCCTATCATTACTTATTTTCACACACACACACACACACACACACACACACACACACACACACACACACACACACACACACACACACATATATATATATATTAT